ATTGTCCAACCCATCATCGCTACAATCACCTGTTTCGTCACTCACATCAGAAAATTATGAAGATTTTGTGTAACGTTTTTGAGGTCTATTTTTTGTTTGTTAACTTAGTGGTGGAAATTACTTTAAAGTGAAGAAAAATATATTTTTGAATTACACACAGGCCTTTAATTTATATATTAATGTTCTTACCTTGATATATCCCTGCAATTCCTTAATTAGTGCAGCACAAACTTGGGGTACTACACGCCCAATCGACTGCTTGGAAATTCTGAATAGATACTGAAGGCTAGTATATGAATCTCCCGTGGCAAGAAACCGAAGTGTTACGGCTAACCTAGAATATTAATTTAAAAAAATTGTTAAAAAACAAAGCTACCTGTCCACGGTACACCGACTTACCTATCTTGGGCAGAGATTTCCGTACGAAAATAAGTCTCCTGTTTTGAAATATGGGGTCCAATCCTTTGCAGCAGATTCTCAAAGTCAGTAGGTGTCATTCGAGTGAAATTTTTATACTGTACGCTTATTTCTTGCGACTTTAGGTCCATTAAAATTTCCGTACCACTGCGTTTCTTGAATAAATTAGTACGCCACCAACGTCGTTGTCTTCTCTTTTTTTTATTTACATCAGCCATTAATAAAACTGCAGCACTCATCACTAAATAGTATAATTTTCGTTTCGCGAAGCCATACTGCATTTGTCGACTGCGATGTTTGTTTGCGTTTGGTGCGCTGAATCTGTGGATCGCTGGAGGTTCGCGGAAAAAATCATTTCAACGAACCACCATCGAGCGGCTCACAAGCGGCTCGCGAACCGCTCGGCTCGCATATGTATACGCACCTTTACCTATCATGCCTTAATGAATGCGCATCCTATTTTTGAACTTTGAGTGTATTTTATGCACACTTTAGGTTATATCTTGTAGTAAAAAATTGACTATAAAATAGTAGAAAATAACTTTGGCTTAACATTTTTATTACCTGTTTTGCACCATATTTCAATAATTAAAATATTTCACTAAAAAATTCTACACGTGCCACGAAAAAAATATGTTTGCTGTTTCACACCTACTAGATGCACAAATAGCCCTAATATTATGCCCATATTATATAGCCCTAATATTATGCCCCAATTTTCAGCTTAAGCTTAGCTAGGCGCGGACTGAGATTGTATTGAAAATAAATGAGACACACCAGATGTAGCAGATCAAAAGGCCATCCAGCGCCTGACCATGATCATTGAAAGCCAAGCAGCATATCAAGGAATTGACTGAAACAGTTAAGAGCCAAAATCGGTTGCCTGACTACTCATTTTGTTAATCAAAATTTATTTTCTAAAAATGACACGATTGTGAATTGTAGAAGACCTCTTGAGAGGTTAATTGACCAGTTGACGTCGATCGACCATGAAATAGTGCACGACGGGTTCATCAAAGCCAAATCTAGGAAAAGATGGAATGTCACAACCGGCAAAAGTAACAAGACGCATGACTCTGCACGCTTTCCTAAATCAAAATAAGAATCGACAGTCCTCGCAAAATTTTTTCTTCAGTTTGCTGGAGATAAAAGATTTATCTTTCAGTTTCTTCTTTTGTCACGTGCACAATGCCAGTCAATGCAGTGACCACGTGCTCTTCGCAAGCTTTGGCAGCTGCATTTGCTTACGGTGCTTCATATCAACAATTACCTTATTCCGCTGGCGTAATCTTAATTACTCCTTCAAAAGATTGGGCATCAAAATAGAACGCTAAGCTTTCGTCTTCGGCTACCTTCTCTCAAAGAACGCGAACTTAGCAACTGCGTTCAGATCCCGGCAACAAATAAGTCTCCTATTTAGGTCGACTTGCAAGTGCTTGCAATTCCTTGGTAGGATGCATTGTGAATGACTGAGGGCTTTAAGTGAGTACGCCGTATTTTGGAGAATTTCACACTTTGGTCAAGAAAGGCTGACAGAAGGCATACATATGTCGAGAGGAAGTCCTTCTGGTCTGCTCAGGCCCTCTTATTGCGGCAGAGGACTACAGGTGCAAACACCGATCCTGGCACTCAAAGCTCAACACCACTTGTGGTTTCACAACTATGTGAAGGGAAAGAGGTGTTCCATCCACAGCACCAAACAGCCTTTACACCATCTATTTAATCACGTTCAGGCACCGCAATATCTCAAGGCTGCAGATTCAGTATTACTTCGAGTGGGTAATCAGCATGTCATGGAGGAGAAAAATGAGAAACGAAAATGAGAAAAAAATTGACTGAAAACAAGTCACTTCTCAGAGAGTTTCCCAGTATCCCGGTCTTAGATGATGAGAATGGAATATATGTTGCTCAATTGGAGTGGATAAGTTTCGTTTACTAAACTACAGCGTGCTGCTGGGCTTTCAGTGCAGCGACACAGCAGACCTTTCTTTTCCGCTATCATCCGTTAATTTTATGACAATAGGACTGCAATTGAACAAGCATAAAAGTCTTGTCACCCTGTTAACATTTGTAGATAGACCAATCTTGTCCATGAAGTGAGAAATGCACTCTATGAATTCCATAATGAGCAGTGGGGCTTTTTGTGACGGGAATGTCCGACTCAAGTTTTTCCCTCTGGAAAGTAGTAAAGTCGCTCAGAATTGGAAGTCAAGAACAACTGTCATATATTTATGGTCAGTGGCATAAATTTCAGTACTGAGAATAATGTTGAAAAATAGTTGTGATCTGGATAATGACTTTGATGAGGCACGACAAATTATAAGATCTGTCCAGAGATATTTAGATATTTCAGAGCCAATAGCGACAGAAACAATAATGCCAATATTGGTGACCCCTTTTCAGAGTATTCTTCTACGGAAAGCTCGTCATATTACTATTTAGATCTCTGTGGTTCCGTATTGCACACCAGAGGAGCTCCAAAGCCATATTAAGGACCTAAAGGTCGGAGATAAAAATCGTATACGAAAAGTAACACCGATATTAATATAGATCTAATTACTGCTTCACTATATTTTGAGTCTCACGTTTTTTGTCTTCCACTTGTATAATTGTAAATGAAATTTCTTCGCCACGTGCAGAAATTATTTCCTAGGATAAATTGTCTTCCTGTAGAAGGACCCGTACTGAAGATACCCACCTTTTTCAGTACTGGGATAAAGGAAATTTGACACTGATCTGACGCCAGTCCCAACTTTCACCTGATATTAGCCTAAAAATATTGGGCGAAGAATGAATAAGAAGAAAAAGAAAGATCCTGCTGATTCTACAGATGATCCAGCAATTAGTAATGTGAAAGAAACCAAAAATTCAGCAAAACAGGTAACGGATGAATGCGATTCCTTGTGCTTTTTAGCTAAGCCCGATCGTACACCTATCATTGCAGGTGCGCATCTGTGCAAAGTCCAATGAGTTTCTTCCAATCCAAATCATGTTTTCCAACAAAATTTGATATTGAATTAAATATATCTTCAGATGTAGTAGCTGCTGCCAAGATTGGGAGTACAAAATCTCTTCATGAATGATATCTCCGCCGATGTAACGAACATACATGTATATATGTATATTATTAACTGTGCACAATTAACGATGTCGGTGGATTAATCGCAACTAATGGCAAAAATGGGGATAATTTTACTTTGTTAATTATTTGTGACTTTATGTCTGCTGCAATGTCAACGATTCTACGCTTGACTGTGTTATTTGAAAGAGAAATAGACTTAATTTTTTGATCATCTTCTCCTAAAGTTATCTGCGTGGCTTTTAGGACACATGGTTTTATTAATTCTTCACCGATAGTTTATACACCTGTGTGATAACTTCCCGATTTATCCAGTCTCATCCGCTTGAATGATTCTGCTTTAGAAGAAAAAAACTCTTTAGTCTCCAAAATCAGAATAGGATGTTGTTGCTTCGAATGCCTTTCAAGGCGATTGGGCCTCATGCTATCATTGCTTAAAACTTTCATACATATCACACCCTGAGGCAATTGTAACTCGTCTTTTTCTATAAAGGTAAATCCAAACTTAACGTAATCTTCGGAAAATTTTCTTGCTGCCATTTTGCACCTATAACAATAAAACAAATAAATAATAAATGAATAAGCACAATACCTATATGTAATTACTAATTATATGTTCATTATTTTATCTTAATAATGTAATGTATTCAACAGTACAGCCACCGGGAGATTCATATATTTGTAGGCAGGTCGACGTTATAATAGTAATTCGTCGGCTTAATATGCAAATCACTAAGTCCACTTTTTGAAGAAAATGAGATATTGGCATGTTTAGTTGATACTATGTGTCCCAAGAATTCCACATAACTCAAAAAAAATGCGGAAGCGACATATTCGGCGTCAAGAATTTCACATAACACTCGCCCTCGCTCTGACCGATAGGTACATCACACAAGTTGGTACAAGTTCAGTGTTTTGGTATGCCTGGACGCAGTGTTATTGTTGGCGTTAGTATTTGATATTTGTGCAAGTTTAGCGTGGAGTAAAACTCTGATTCAATAGGGTAAGTTAACAGTATCATTTCGAGTCAAGATCATATGAAATTAGATATTGGATAACGACTAATTGTCTCGTAAACGTAAAGTACGGAGTCATGTGATTTTATCGTTTGGACTTACTTGATTTGGTCATCATAGATACTGTTGTAAGAATTTGTAATAGGTTCTGTCCACAACTTAAGTATGCAACGTTGAAGGATTTTCTAAGATATAAAATATGCGTCCAGACGACTAAAACCTGTAATTGCACTTTAGAGCTAGAAAAGATGTCAACGAGAACATTAAGAATCCTTGCTAGCGGTGATTCCAATACTGAGCCGTGTAGTAGCACTGAGAATGTAAATGTGACAAATGAGAAGTACACCTCTGCCGATCGTACAAGCATAACTGAAATTTTACAAGACCTGTGTAGTATGAACCAATCTATTATTACTAATCAAGGCGTTTGTTACGACGTGGCTGATGTAGAGATCGATTTTGTAGACATTCCTGGACTAAGTGGTTCTGTTGTACCAGAAAACATGTTTGATGCCGTTTTCCCTTTCGACCAAACACAATCTCAGACCGTATGATAGTGCAAACCCCAGAAAATGTAGCGATACATAGGCCAAATCAAGGTGACGACAATCAGCAACAAGAAAATCAAGAACAACGTGCGGAGACACCGAAAAATGATGAGGAACACGAGTACAATTCATCTGAAAATGTATTAAGAGAAATTCACAACTTGGAGCAAGAAAACGCCGCAGAAAGCAATAATAGATCTTTAGAAAATATTGAGCGACAGCGACGTAAAAGGAGACAAGCAGACATTAAAGATTGGAAGCCAGAGCAAAACAAACAAAGAAGAGGAAGTGGTTTATCTTACTTAGGGAAAAGAAAACTTAACGATGTCTAGAAATATATCTTAAGAAACTAGATAAGACTTTGTTAGGCAGGTGTAACTGTCTAACTGATTATCGATCCAAACTTCATTGCTCTCAACTTACTGAAACTGACAGAAAATTGATTTTTGATCAGTTCTGGAAGTTATCGTGGAAGGAGAAACAGCTATTTGTAACAAACTAGCTGAATGTACACCAACACAGCAAATAGGAAATCGAAAGGAAGACGATGCTAGCAGAAGGACTTCTACGTACATGTTTTTCTTAAGAAAGGTAGATGTTCTAAACTGAGAGTTTGCAAATCTCTGTTTTTACTTTAGCTATAAAACAGTGGACATAACTGGCTGACGCACCTTTTCACAGAAGCTACTGAACTAGAGGAACCTGGAGGTGAAAGGGAAATAAGAAAAAGACATTTAAAGGAATTCTTTGATATATTACCAAAAATGGAAAGTCATTATTGTCGCAGCTCTAGCAAAACACAGTATTTGGAACCTACAGTATATTCAGATAAGAGATAGACCGGACATAAACAAGACCACGTGATCATCGAACGCTGTAACCGTCGGCAGGGACGTATTAAGAGTCACGCAGTACATATTTTAGATAGTAGATGCTGCTTTGCGTAACTTTGTAGTAAATTAGCACAATTCGATGTGTATACGATTGGTGATGGATATAGGATCATGTGGGGGTGAGGTAAGAAATATAGAATGATGTAAATGATGATGTTTCAAAATTTTCGCTTCGATTTCCAGCTTCGGATGCCGCCTGATGTTTGGTGAAATACAGTCGAATATAATCTCAAAATGGCGTTTAAATTAGCCTAAATTAAAAATAATCGTATATCTCTTAAAATTGCTTTTAGAATATTGATTAGTATATTTTTTGATTTCTAGGTAAATATGTAACCAAATTAAAACGTTCAAAACGTAAAAAAATGTGCATGGTTGAACATTGTCAGAAAGTAGATTCTTGAATAGGTTTTGCCAAAATGGGTTCAAAAATGTCAATATTTAATTAAAAAATACAGTAGCTTTATAATTACTTATAACTTACCAAATTTGATGAACGACATCTTTTATTGGAAAGATGAGCTTGATGAGCTTTCATCATCGCTACTGCCTGAAGCACCAACGTCAATAATGAATGGCTCGACTTGTTCCTCTAAAATATTGTCCAGTTCCCACATTCTCTTTTCAACTTTGTCTTTCACGTGCTTAATACAGTTTTCCCATTTTTGCGCTGTTATTAATTCTAGTGCTTCTTTGAAAAGTCCTTTGAGGTCACAAAATTTAAAAGTTGTATGGTGCTTAGCTATATAATTTTTAACCTCTGCCCATATGAGCTCAATGGGATTGAGCTCGCAATGGTATGGAGGTAAACGGAGCACAGTTTTATTTTGACTTGCTGACATTTCGTCAATGGCGTATTTTTGATATTCCGCGTTGTGATCCTTGACAATTCTTAATAATTGTACTTTCAGCATTGCTTCTTCAAAGTTGATATTTTTCGAGCGGAGCCAATTTTGAACATCAACTTTCCTTGAAGCCGTTGTTGGGACCTTCTTCATTCTTCGAGAATGATAAGGCGCATTATCCAACACAATTACATACTGCGTTTTCCTCTAAGTTCGGTAAAATTTTTGAAAACCACTGTTCAAACGATTCGCCACTCATTTCCTCGTGGTAATCTCCAGTTTTCTTAGACTCACAGCACCACAGACCGTCAACAGCAAATCCATCCTCACTGCCAATATGGCAGATAATGAGCCTTTTCCCTTTACCTGGAAATCGAAGTACTAACTGGTGTAGATTTATTTCAATAAGCGAACCTTTTTCAAATGTTTTCATCACATTCAGTGAAAAAACATTGAGACATGAGTATCAGATTGCTATAATTGGGATTATTTAGTCATATTGAAAGAAAGAATATTGAATGTCGTATGATTACTCAGCGCTTCACAATTTAATTTAAAGTTATAAACCTTTAAAAAATGAATGATCAGGAACCTGAAATACGCGCAAATATTAATATTAACAAATTATAACTTTATAAAGCTTAAAGTATGAATTAAAATGATTAGAAATATTAGGAACGGTACACAATATAAAACTTTTTTTAAGTTTATAATATTCGACATATTTTAAGATTATATTAAAAAATTATTGAAATATCGAAAACACATAAAAACATGGCTTAAAAAAGTTCTAACAAATGAAAATTACAATAAAACATCCACGCATTTTATCGAAAGTTATAAAAGTTTTGTTACTTGTAATATGTTTTATCTGCCCCCTGGAATTAATGTTTAGAACCTTGTTCCCAAGGTTTGAAAAACATCCGATTGTTGTCTATTACTCGTATTTACCTGCTGGATTTTTTAATCCGGTGGACAGTCCATCTAGAAAGGCCCTCCTGGATGAAGTTACAGAATCATCAACCCATACTTTACTTGTAGTGTGTCCTGCGTTTACCCACGTTTCATCAAGGTAATAAATCTTCATGTTTTGATTTCTATATTTCCCAATTTTTGTTAAATAATCCCTCTTCTATTGCACAGTTTCTTCTATATCCAGAAGTAAACTATTACGACCCCGTTTTTTCCATTTGAAATTTAAATGCTTCAGTAACGCATGGAAAGTTGATCGTTTGAAATTTGGCAACGTTGTATCTCCATTTACCTCCTGCAGTACTTTATCTATAGTACCTAGGTATTTCATTCCTAAAGAAGAATTCATGCACTTTCCTCCTAATCGCATGCTTATCAGCTTCATCCAATGATTTAACAATACTTTTGCGATGTTTACTGGTCATTGGCTCAGAAAAGGTGTGATTTTTTTTGTATTGTCTTAACACAATAAACACTGTTGCGCGACACACCCCAACCCCAACTTTGTGAGAAACCTTCACAACAATTTCTTTGATGGTTGATGCTTCGTTCTCCTCGCGCTCGATCTTATATATATTCAAAATGACCTCTTTCATTTCTGCACTCAGGTGTCTTTTTTTAGAGCGTTTCCTAGGTGGACTACAGGAGTTTACAACTTCATCGGCAGTATCTGTACTACTGGGCATTTTGCGCAAGCAGTTGATAACAATAACAATCAATAACAAGGTATAACAATAACAACGACAAACTCAACAACTTAATAAGATAACAAACGAAAACGTCCAAAGAAATATCAAATTGCAATGATGCACACGACATACGTAACACGTTTGAACCTGAATGTGACTCTGCCTTGATACGACTGCTCTGCCGCTCGGCATAGGCATTTAATTGCGAATTGACCAATGAGGGCTCCTGTTTTACGTCGAGACGGCGGGGTTAGCGTGAAAATCACCCGAACCTTTTGTTTACATCCGGTCTATCTCTTATCTGAATATACTGTAAGTGGAAATCTAAGTCTCAGTTATATGAGCTCTACAAGCCATATTGTAATAATGAATGACCGCTGTCTATAGCAACTTTTCATGGGATATTTGACGACATGAATTTGAGCCTTTTTCGGTCAGAGAAAGACGAGTGTGACCTATGCGTTTCGTACAAAGCAAAAAATGTTGAGGAAAAAGTGTATAACTTACACTAACAGAAAAAACAAGAGGCGAGAGCTGCAAAAGACAAATATAAAAACTCTACTCAGGATTACAAGGTATACACTATGGATATGCAGGCTGTGTTACTTGCTCCAAAATCAAATATGTCATCTGCCTATTTTAAAACTAAACTGACTGTACACAATTTCACATTTTACGATTTGAAGACAAAGAGTTTGCTATTTGTGGAATGAATCAGAGGGTGGTTTAACAGCAAGCGTTTATTCCTCAATCATAGTACAATTTCTATCAAGCGAAATTGACCAGAATTCAGTTCCATATTATATTCTATATAGTGACGGATGCACCAGTCAAAACAGAAAAGTAACTATTTTCCAAAAGTCACACTCAAATGTCCCTGATTATATAGGAATCTGCAGAGCTGCTCGGAGACATCCTGCTCCATATAAGGTTGAGTACCTTAATTCTGAGTTTTTTAAAGACTATAACAGTCTGCATTACTATCCTTCAATAACACCTGGTACCTCCGAAACAGTTAATTCAATAAGACAATTGAAGTATGAACCTGATGGAACAATATATTATAAGGTGAGGCACACTCATGATTGGGCACCATTACCCGTAAGGTGTAAAAGAAATGTACAACATGGAAAAAGAATTGAAGATTTGCCTCAGCTTTACGTGGAAAGGATTCCGATATAAAAGTCAAAGTATGAACATCTCAAGGCCTTGAAAGCGATAATAGTTAATTACTACCATGGATTTTAGGTAGCAGCGGTGGCCGCAGTAGTAGACTCTTCGGTCTCCTACTGTGCTGTGCGGGTTCGAATTCCGTCCCAAGAGAAATTGTTCTCTTGGCTATGGATGTTGTGATTGTCCGTAGGTGGTAGACGGTATCTGACTGTCGAACGCAGAGGTACCGCCCGGCGGATCTCGTAGGCGGGGCCAGAATGTATGCATGTTGCATGCAAACGTGTTCCCTCGCCGGAGTCCGAGTGGCGTTCCCCTGTATCCCCCTATAGCACCACGGAAACCCATGGGTGTTTAGGCCTTAGGCCTTCATGGTGGTTGGAGTATAATATAAAAAAGATGAATTGCCTAACACATGAATACATATTATGTTGAATTGGATTTAATAAAAATGAACCTTATTGGAACAATGCATACTAGTTTTATTGAAAACCCGCATAACTTTTATTGAAAAACTGAAGATAGTCACACAAGTCCCGTTAAATTTAATCAAATTGCATTTCATGCGATGTTTAATGATTAGAAACACAGGAAGGATCACAACAGAACTATGTCTCAAGTATGTGAATAAAATATAAACACTTCAGAAATAGGACAGTTTTTTTCATCTCCTCTAAAATCAGTGGTATGGGACCTGTGCTTTGCATATTAAGCCGACGAATTTTAAATACATTCGGAATCAATATTAGGTACATAAAGTTCG